AAATGATTGGCCCGGCCCGCCAATTTTTGGCGGGCCAACGGGCCAGCCCGCGGGCCATGGCCCACTTTGCCATCCCTATTTCTATCTATATATAACTCAATTGTTTGTTCTTAAATTTTTTTTTTTTCGAAAACTATTCCTATATCAATAATACACTTGATATATGTTTTTTAAGTTTTCAAGAACAAAAATTGGAGGTCATTTTTAAAAGTCAATTAAATAAATGAATTTTACTTATTTGTTGAAGTGATAAATCATAAATGCATTTAATTAGATATTTTTGTGAAGTAAAAAATGAATGTTGCAATCTTGCATACATGATAGAGTGGGTCTTATAAAAGGTATCCAAATAATTTAAAATTTTGGGTTTTATAATAAAAATTGGAGGGAGTCCTATACATATGAAAAGAAGTAATAACCAATATTTCCTAAATCTCATAATAAATGTTAGATTATTTTATAGATTAAGAATTAATAAATAAATGAAAGAAAATAGTGATTTTATAAAATTAATCTTCTTTGCTAGAAATGATACAACACAACAAGTCAACAATCACTTTCTATGTAATATTATTATAAGTGTATAAATGGAAAAAAAAAGTAATTAATGTTAGTTACATTGAAAAGCTAACATGACACTTATTTTGAGACGTATTTTTTCTCAACACTTATTATGGAATAGAGAAAGTATTAAGTGGTGTATTACATTTTTATATATTGATTAAGAAAATTTAATAAATTAATAAATGAAAGAGAAAATAGATATGCACTCATAATGTCAAATAATTTTATACACTCATCTAATTATAGATAACCATTTATAGTTTATAGTAAGTTTCTTAACTTTTACAATAATTATTTTAAAATCACATTAATAGTAATTTTGCATAGATTGGACAATTTAAACTTTTACATGTATGACAATTAAACTCTAGATAAAATATAATTTTTTCTATGAAACTAACTTTATTATTAGTCTTTTTATATAAATTAACGATTTACTTTTAAATTTGAAAAACCCACATACTTAGCTTACTTTTAAAAGGACACCACAATTTTTTTTTTAAAACAATATAAATATAATAAATGATATCAAACAATAAGAAATGAGACATATAAAAATAATAGATATCAATAAAGTGTATAATATATAAATTTGTTTGCATGTTTTAAAACTCAACTCAAGTCAAAATTGGTTGGACTAGTTCAATCCAAAATATCGAACTTATGAGAAAGTTGAGTAAATACTATGATCGGGCATGCTATTTGTCTCACTCTCTTGAGTCTCGATGACGTTAGCAAACTTGCTATAATCGGTGAATTCCAGTTTGTCTGAGCGCAACCAACCAAGTGATGCTTTGGTGACTGTTTACCTTTGCAATTAGCAGGAGACTTATAACAACCTGATTTTAAAAATATAAATATATTATAGTTGTCAAATACATGTTTTTTTTTTACTTAATTTATTAATTTGACTTTTAAAATAAATTGAGTTGTTTTATATAATAAAATAAGAGAAAAAGAATTATGACTAGTATAAAATTATTTTAGACTATTGTTCAATCACAAATTATTACTTATTAAATTTTAAAGGTTTTAGAGTTGCAGTGGATAAGTGGAGGAAAAGAGAGGAAGGGAAAAATAGAGAGAGAACATAAAAACTGAATGTAATTCTAATATGAATGTTTACTAGAGAGGATGAGGTTATATATAAGCTTGGGAAGTCAAAACAAATTAACAGAAAATAAAACTAATCACTAACAAACTCTAAGATCCCTTTACACTCCCTCTCAAACTCATGGGGTATGAGAATGAACCCTGAGTTTGTACATACAGTTTGAAAAGACAACAACAACAAGCAGTTTTGTGAAGATATCTACTATTTGTTCAGTTGATGGAATGTTATGAACTTGTATCTCATTTTCCTTAACTTTATCTCTAACAAAGAACAAATCAAGCTCAAAATGTTTTGTTCTTGAGTGCAGAATTGGGTTTGCTGAGAGTAAAACAACACTAAGATTATCACGGTAAATTAGTGGTGGTTTTGGAACTAATACACGAAGCTCGGTCAATAAAGACTTTAACCATGTAAGCTTTGCTGTTACAGTTGCAATACTTTTGTATTCAGCTTCTGTAGTGGACCTGCTTACAACATGTTGCTTCTTTGAAGACCAAGAGACTGAACCAAGAAAGACGCATAGCCCTGTTGTTGATTTTTTATCATCCATATTAGCTACCTGGTCAACATCACAAAATGCGGATACTTGCAGATCAACAGATTTTGTTAATTTAATTCCATATGTAGAAGTTCCACAAAGATACCTTAGGATCCTTTTGGTGGCCTACCAGTGACTTTCTTTAGGTGTTTGCATGAATTGGCACACCTTATTGATAGCAAATGAGATTTTTGGTCGTGTAATTGTCAAGTACTATAAGCTTCCCACAATATATCTATAGAGAGTAGGGTTTTCAAAGTCTGGACTAACATTAGAAGAAGTGAGCTTCAAATTTGTCACCATTGGTGTTTTCACTGGTTTGGCAGTCACCATGTTGGCTTTTTTGAGTAAGTCATTGATGCATTTGGTTTGAGTTAAGATATAAGAGTGTTGGTTGCTAGTTGATTGACTTGAATTTCAAGGAAAAAACTTGGAAAACCAAGATCTCTAATGAGAAACTTGTATGATAGGAAGTTGATCAGATGTTGTATGGCTATGCTGCAACTGCCATAAATCACCAAATCATTTACATAAGCTAGAATAAAAGTTGTATGTTTGGGATGAAACCGTACAAAGAGTGATGAGTCACTTTTGGTAGCTTGAAATCCAACTAAATGTAATGTAGTATAGAGTTTCTCAAACCGGACTCTAGGAGCTTGTTTGAGTCCATAGAAAGGCTTGTGAAGTTTACAAACCAATGAGCCATCTCTTTTAATGTATATATCCTGGAGGTTGAGTCATGTAAATTATTTCATGAAGATCACCATTGAGGAAGGCATTTGCAATGTCTAGCTGCCTAAGATGCCATCCCTGTGTAAGCGCTATACTGAACATAACTCTGATTGTTGTTGGTTTAACTATAGGACTGAAGGCTTCATGAAAGTCAAAGCCATCTCTTTGATGGAATCCCTTAGCAACAAGGCGTGCCTTGTGCCTATTTAAGCTTCCATCTACATTAGTCTTAACTTTGTAGACCCATTTCCAGCCAATTAGATTACAACTTGGAGGTAGTTTGGTCAGGCTCCATGTCTTGTTCTTAAGCAATGCCTCATATTATATATCCATTGCTTGTTTCTAGTGTGGAATATTAAGTGTCGTCTTCACTGTCTCTGGCTCAATGAAGATATCATCTTTTGATTTGGGAGAACTAGTTATTACATTCAGTATTTTAGGTTTCCTAATTCCATCTTTTCCTCTAGTGATCGTAGAATGAGTATTTATAGGGCAAGGTGGTGTGGCTGATGGGAATTTTGTGGTGGTGATAGGTAAAGAAGTTGTTGGCTGGTTATGTTCAAGGCTAGAAGGTATTGTTGGAGTATTTGGTTGGATATATATAGGATTTTGTGATATAGGTATGCAAGGTAAAGGGGTAGGTTTGGAAACCTCAGTTGCAGAATCATTTTCCTCTAGAAATTTAGGATTTACTGCAAAAGGAAACAAATCTTCATCAAAGATTACATGTCTAGATATAAACACCTTACCTGTTTTGGACAGACAAAGATATCCTTTATAGTTGTTAAGTCTCAATTTTACTTCTTTTTAGATGAGACTTATTTAACAATTCCACTCATCCTCTGAACCATTGCAATATAATTGTTCTCCTTTTGGTTCATTTTGTGTGCAGATATAACTAACCCGAATTCATCTAACAATACCTTAATCCACCTCATTTTTTGTGCCAAGTATTGAGTGAAGAGTGAAAAGTTGAAGATCCCTTGGATTGGAAATATAAGAAGCTAAGGAGCAGAGCAGGGTGGATACGCCGGGCGCAAGATGACCCGCGCCGGGCCTGATCAAAACAGAGAGTGATTCAAAGTCTCTGGAAGACATTGCGCCGGGCGCAAAAGGAATTGCGCCGGGCGTGTACTGAGGCAGAAAATGCTTAACTTCTTGAAGGCCCTGCGCCGGGCGCTACGACTCATGCGCCGGGCGCGAAACCCTAATCTGATCTCCCCAAGCTCGTATTTGAAGCCATTTTCGGGGGTTTTCTTCCTCATTCACACAGGGGCGAGTTTTAGAAGCTGTGGAAGGGATTCCCGGAGCTTGGAGCCGTTCGTGTGTGAGTCTTTCCTTCGGTTT